TTGGAGGAAATGATTCCCTGTAACACAGATTTTCTAGCCAACCAGAAAGGGATAAAACAAAAAAGTGCTGATAATGATCAAGCTCTAACCTTTCTTGAATCTTAGAGGATGGAAAAATGGGGACAAGGTATTAGTGTGATAGGGCCTTAATCATGAATAAATATGTCATATTATCTTGCAAGAATATGAAGGTTTATTGTATATCATCAAATGTTTCAAACACTTCCAATTAAAGATGCTATATGAGTAAGCTGATCTCTGTTCCTCTCTTTCTTACTATATTGACTACTAGTTATAAGACTGAAGTCAGGAAGGAGAAAAGTCCATGGCAGAAAGAGACAGTAAGTACAGGAGGAGGAGACTCAGGTAGAGAATTCATATGTGTGTGTGTTGGGGGGGGGTAGGGGGGGATGGCTTCTTAGATACTGGTGTAATTTTGCAAAAAATGAGGTGGGTATTTGGGGTCAAAATGGAACTGGTGCTTCACAAATACACAAATGCCTTTGGAGAAGCCAAATATTAGAGATGAATGGCAACTCTCTTGGAATATGTTAGCATGGCACTAAAAAAACCCTCAGAACAAACCCTTTCTTTTGGTGCCTAGCTGCAGACGAGCAGTGATGCACAGAAACTGGATAGAACATAAGCATCTCCGACCAGGGAAATCTCCCAGTCAGCTGCTTTCCAGCGGACTCCAGCTAGAATCTGTTGGGATTTTTATGACTCAGAGTCTCCCCACCTGCACAAAATTGTATAGCTCTTCCCTCTTGCTAGAGTATATAACCAGGAAATCAAACTGCTAGATGAAGCATAGGACCTGAAGAGCTTGAGCATCTGCCTGAAAGGACTGTTCATCATTGAACTGGACTCAGTTATTAAATCATACTAAAATGTATATATTCCACATTGCTCAGATGCAGTAATTGTCAGAAAGAGCAAATGTGTTACAAATCTGAAAAACCTAGTTTATTCGAGGCTCTGAGGGTAATAAAATGAGTAATTTTATAATCATGCAATGTTATAATTAAGGAAATTGTGTCCAAAACCCAATTAACAATAAAACACTTTTATTTATAGAAAAGCAAAACAAATTGTCTGTGAATTCAAATATCTGTTTTATTCTGCCTGTTGGATATACTTGAGTTCAAAAACCAATTTTTCTATTGTTTTCATTGTTGTTTACCTCTCTCTAAACAGCCAATGAAATCACAAGTGTCAGGAAATATCCCTTTCTCAAACTATGACATTTTCACCATTCCAAGTTAAATTAGTCAAATATTCCTACATGGCACCAAATTTATTAGTAGGTTGGTGACATTAGTATTAGCATTTGAGAAACACGCTTCTATGGCTCAATGTTATCAAGTAAATATAAAACAAATTTGTGTTAAACAGAGTCATTAAATACCACCCCTTGAAATAGATATTTTTGTTCACAATTTAATGAGCCACAACCCTACCAGAGAGAGCGAGAGGGTCCAGATCCATGGACTTTTAGATTCCACGTCCAGATTCACATGGGAATGGAACTGAGGAGATGAGCATATTCAACTTCCTGGTCCTAATTTAATCTGTAACTTTCATAGAATATCAGATAGCTGTTTTTCAACTGTCATCCACAGAAAAGTATATGTGTGCACAATAGAAAAATGGAATTTTAACCATTATCTAATTAATCCAACTGATACAGACAGAAAGGGTGGAAAAAACAGATGACAAAGGTATTTTAAGCTAATTTATCCATATTTCCCCAAACTATTTATGATTAACTAAACAGATAATGGTCATATTTTTCTTTAGCTATGCAAATATAAGTTTGTTCCTCCACACAACATATAGGTTGAAAATAAAATCTCAAGCCACTGCCCAGGTTTGTGGTCTGGGTTGTCCTAGACCTTTACTTTTCTAGATGATTCTGCTTCCCATCTAGATACTTATACCACATAGATATGGTCACAAATTCATTCTCATTGCTACATTTGAGTCACTAACAAAAGAAGCTTATCTAATTACCAATTCCCCAAGCCAACCAGGATTCTCCCTTTTTACTAAAGAGAACGTCATTCATATGTGATCCCTGGAGAACTAAGTACATGCATATATTGACTACTCAGTATCCTCTACCATTAAGAGGATGGGACAACTATTTAGTTTCTAACTCATTCTTGTAATGACAAAAAAGAGAATACAAAAAGTCCATTGTAAATTTATACAAAATGTATGCATATATAAATACATATCTATGGGTATATATAAATTCTAAAGATTATATCTATCTACATCTTTAAGATTCAAAGGCCCATACAGTTGACATAATAGTATTCTCTCTGCAGTGTTCTCATTTTAAAAGAAACAGTAAGAATCAAGCATGCCACCTTATTAATACTGAATAGCAAGTGCAGAAGTTGAGCTGTGGTTGTAGGGATCTGAAGCAATTAGTCTGACGGGACATCAGTGTATAATATTCTTAAAATATAACTATTTCAGATTACCTTTTGTTTCACTTATGTAAACAAAATCTTAGTGCCCTGATACAGACGTCCCAAATGCCTGATACTGCTGATCTTTGCCAGAAACAATGTTTATACAGGGTCTGTGCAAATTGCTTGCGTATGTACTTGTTGCAATAAACTGGTATTGAATGGCATTATTAGAACTTTGCTTATTCTCCCCTAAGAAATTTTAATTGATACTGCCAGAAGCTCAGGGTTCTGAATATGTTTAACTCAACACTACATTTTACTCATAAACTACATTATCTTTATGCAGAGCATTGTTGAAAGTAGTCAAACATAGTCAATTTATGAAGAAAGATGCACTATAAAAGCACATTATGGATGTGTGCCCATGTTTAGAGGTACTGAGATCTCTTCTTAAACAATAATACACAATGCTTTTATTTCTCCTCTTTGCTCTATTCCTTTGAGGGAAAGCATATAGGAGAATCTCATAATCACCCCTTAGTGTACGGGCTGCTTCTTTGATTGGGGATTATTATTGCATGCCTTGAATGCACTGTGATTCATAAGGCAAGAATGTATGAGTAGCTTCAGCACCAAGGAAATAGAATCATCATCCAGCACTTCTTACAACAAAACATCTTATTGCTTTAGTAAAATGGGAAGTTATTCACTGTAAAATGTGCACCAAATACAGGGGAGAAAGTAATATCCATTCACTTAGTAGAGCTCACTGAACTTGAGCGAAACTCCCATCTGAGTACTTGATTTATTCAAATTTTAAGTCTGAAACTTCATTCTGAAATAAGCTATTTTTAAAAAAGCTACAATTGAATGAGGGTGAGCTACAAAATTTCAAAATTTAATAGACGTTGTTTTTCATCATGCCATAGTCATTCTGGTGTAGAATGAAGAGCTCTAGTGCAGTACAGGATTCCCTAGTGGCGGAGGGAGTTAATGCACTTTCACTTATTACTGGGAATAAGACACTGGAGAAGATACGGTTCATTAATTAACATGCTGTACTCCAGAGATTATACCTCATCTTCCTAACATTATAATAGGGTATTCTTACATGATGGCCCTCTGTACTTCCAGTCACTGCCAAAAATTTTGTATATAAAATGGACAATTAAAGTTAAGCTTACTAAACTAATTTTATGAAAGATGCAAAATAACCTTGGACAACTTGAAATGTTTCCTCTGAGGTTATAGGTCATTATCTGAATAAGAGCACATATGCCTTGAGCTGCTACTTATAATAGTAATTAGGGGACAGCTGCCTTGCACCTTGCAAGTTAGTAAGGACTCTTGTGTGCGCTTTTTATAGAACATTCTCATTCAGACATTTTCCAACTATTTAAATAGTCATCAAAGAATTGATTTTCAAGAAAATGTACCATTGAGTATAACTTAGATTATAATATGCTTCTGGACACTCTACCAAGGAAAAAAGTGAAAATAAGTACGGACTCCATTTATAACATAGGTAACCTTATCCTGCTTTAGGACAAGAAAAACATCCTATTTTTAAAAAACAATCAAAATCTTTATATTTTCAATTTAATTGGTAAGCAAGACTCACAAATAGAGACCCCTCCTTTACTGCATATGGTATAGATTTCTAAACAAACTGCAAACATTTTTAACCAACAAGTTGTTACTAGATTTAAATCTCTTGAAATTTACATGTCCTGTCATCCAAATTGCCCAATATCCCCACAAATCTCACCTCCGAACACAAACCGTACAAGCAAGCACACACCGCTGCTTTCAACTGGTTAATTGCATGCAGGGAGGACTACACGCACTGTTTAAATATTAACTATGTTTTAATAGATGGCATTCCTGCACATCCATTACTTGTTTCTGTTGTGGTAGTTGTTTCTGTTATTTGCAAAAGAAAAAAAGAAAACATACGTGTCATATTTTTATAACAGTCTACTACAGAGTAAGGTACAAAATTACACTTCTAAAAACAGCAGAAGCCAGGCCTGCACCACTGAATTACTCTTCCAGTGGTGACCATTATATCAATAGCTGGAAATTAAGAACAAGAATATACTGTTTGGAGGACATCAGTACAGACTTCGTTTGCTTCTGTATTTTGGTATTAATATAATATATAACAAAGGTGAACTTGTTCTAGAAATAAAACAAACATTCTGGTTGGTTAGATACTACACTTTCAGTACTACACGTCAGCTAATACTTTTTTACAAAAAGGTAACTTACGCAATGTGTAATAAGAAAACTAATAGAACACACAAACTGGATTGTGGAAAAAGAAGAAAGAAACCAACACCAAGCAGAGTAGTCACTTTCCAAAATAGCCCCTCCTCTGCCTGCACAACAGTTCCGTGACGCAATTTCAGCACCAGACGTGGCTGGACAGCTCCCGGGTCCACTTAATCCTGAAAATGCCAACGGTCAAAGGTGTACATGTGGGTACATGTGGGGCAGGGCAAGGAGCTAAAGCGGATTCTTTTAGTATTTTTTTAAATTTAATAGCTCATTTAATTATTTCAGACTTATGCTCGGCCAGCGAGGGGCACTTCTACAAGTAAAAATGCCTACTCCCGGATAAGGGAATGGTTAATGAAGGAGACAGCGATACCTGCCATAAATGTTTTTCTGGGACCATTTTTTGTGGCCTCTTGTAGTCCTGGTGCTTAAAGCAGACATTTTCTTTAAACTATACTATTGCCTGAGCCTGGCTAAGGGTGGGGGTGTGGGGGACACCCAAGGAGAAGTGAAAGCTTGGGGGTGGGGAGGTAGGTAACTGAACCTTAACTTGTCAGCTATGTACAACACACGGTCCTCTCCACTCCCTTCACTCTGGGGTGCGATGCCTTTTATATATTTGGTAGCTAAAGCGGTTTCTCCTCCAAACTGGGGGGGGGGGGGGCGGGCGCCGGGTGGAGGGGGAAGAATTATCCTTCATGGACAGTGAGAAATTGGGTGATTTGTCATGCGCTTGGATTGTGTTAGTAGTAGTATAATAATTACTATAAATATAATAAAGTATTGTTATCAGCGTTATTTCTTCTTCCGAGACTTTCCTTGCCCAATATTTACAAATACCGCACAGTGCCTCGGCAGAGGAGAAGCAGAATCGGGTAGGGGGGACGGGCGAGAGGAGAGAGAAGAGAGGTCAGGGGCAGGGAGGACAAAGGCAGGAGATCCAGGGTGGCAAAGGTTCTGGAAAGGAGGAAGGGGGATCAGACAGTCAGGACAGTACCACCGTTTGCAAAAGGCCCTCACCAGCTGTGTCCAAACAGGAGGAGGCTGAGTGTGCCCCTTGAGGACTGGGGACAGGTGGTGGAGGGGGAGGAGGGCAGGAGCCCTGGCTTGGGAGGCTGGGGGAGACCGAGGCCGAGGGGCCAAAGAAAGCAGAGTCCCGGGGCTGCCTCTCCAGCCGCGTTTCTTTCACTGGGACTGAGGCCTGGGCCTGGACCGGGGGCCCCGCCCGGGACACCCCCCTGCCGTTGCTGCCACTGCAGTGATCCCGCTCATACTCCTCCTGAGCCCTCTGCATCTTCCGCTTCTTCATCCTGCGCTTGTGGATGTGGAAGGTGGAGAGGGACAGCACGATGAGGCAGAAGATGAGGGTGACCAGGACAATCAGCACCAGCGTGGAGGAGAAAGACTGGAAGAGCTGCTGTCCCACCTGCGTGATGCAGGTCCCGCTGGCGCCTGGGCTGCGGGCACTCGCATTACCACCGCTGCCGGCGTGGGGGACGGCCAAGGTCCGGTTGAGGAGACACGGCGGCAGTGCCAGCCTCAGCTCCTTGGGCGCCCGGGCACTCATGGGCGCTGGGCTGGGAGGGGCCGGGGCCCAAAAGACTTCCTCGCTGGGCACAAGGTTCCCACCAGCAGAGATGATGACAATGACGGCGGCCAGCCACCCCAGACTGCTCCCTCCAGCCGAGGGAAGTGCGCAGAGGACGAGGGAGCAAAGGGCGGCTGCTGGGCCAGTGAGGGAGCAGTGCCCGAGATCCTCTCCGCCCCACCGACAACGTGTCTGTCCGAGCACCCTTTTCCTTTTCCAAGGCACCAGGCTGCAAAGAGAACAGGCTCAGTTAGGGATCCGGCCATTGTTCGGAGGAGTGCGGAGGATCCAAAGGATCAGCTGCCTCTGCAGAACCGGCAGCCCTGGGCTCCCTGCGGAGCCACACTGCCCCTGTCAAGACCCCAGCCCACCTGGCCCTGGCAGCCACCGGGGCTGGGGGAAGGGAGTGTGCAAGGCTGGCACCTTCCCAGCACACAGGACAGTCTCCGGACCCCTCCACAACTTTGTGATCACAACTGACACGCAGCCGCCTGGAACAGGTCCCTCCCCCCCAGCACATCCTCCCCTCTCCTGCGCCCTCTCTGGGTGCCTCAGCTCAGATCCTACCCTCCCAGCACCCACCCCAGCTGCCGGCGGCGGCTCTGGGTTTTGCAGGCGGCTGGCTCTGCTAGCAGCGTCAGATCCCTTGGGTCAGATGCCCAGGGGGTACCCCTAAAACCAACTCCCTTTCCCCCTTATGTCTGCGCTGAAGCCCTGAGCTCGCTCCTTTTTCAGGCCGCCTTCCCGGCTCTCACTCCCCCAGAAAAAAAAACAAAACGCTGAAGCACCGTCCTTGGCCAAAGCACGCCCCCTCCCATAAACGCCCCCTTATCTCCATTCTCTGCGCCCTCACCCCCAATTCACAGCATCCTGTTCCTTTCTGGGCGAGCTGGGAACAGAAGGGGGTGGGTTCCCGCTTGCAAAGTTTGGGGAACGGACCTTTTCCTCCGGCCTTCCCAGCCCTTAGGGCCGAGACTCTTCCTCTTCCCCAGGACCCGGACCGCGCCTGGCCGCCCGCAGCACAGTGTCCTCGCAGGCGCTCCGGTGGCAGCGACAAACTGTTGCACTGCGGAGCAGCCAGGCGGCGCGCGAGCCGGTGGGGCAGGGGCGGGGGCCGAGCCCCAGCTGGTCCCGGGTGCCTGCACCCGCAGCCCAGCCCCGGGCGCCCTCTCCACTCGCACCCAGCACCCCCAGCCGCCTGGAGTTCCTTACCTGGGGCCGCCCGCTGGCTGCAGGGAGGGAGCCCCCGCCGCGGCTGCAGTAGCGGCTGCAGAAGGCTCCGAGTGAAGGGGCCAGAGACCAAGCGGCGCGCCGCTGCCGCTGCCGCCGCCACCGCTTTGGGGAGCTCAGCTCGCAGCCTATTGCCAGAGAGGCCGGTGACGTCAGGCAGCCCCCGCCAGGGCTCCAAGCCACCCCTCAGGCCCCCACCCCACCCTCACACCCCAACACCTCGCCCTCCGAGGGAGCGCGCCTCTGCCCCGTGCGTTCCAGCAGCCTGCCCTTGGCTCGCGGGGACGTGGGAGCAGCCCACCTTCCACCTTAGCGCTCCTCTGCCTGGGAAGGGGAGGCGCGCCCCTCACCCGCCTTCCCTCCACCCTTTCCCACTTGGCAGCGGAGAAAGCGAGAAAGCGTTTCTACCTGCTCCCCTGGCGCACACTGGTTTCCTCCCCACCACCTCCTCCCCAGTCCCAGGCTGCTGGGCTGCCCCTGAAGCGGCTGTGTGTGCCCCAGGGCAGCGCTGCCTCAGAGCTGGGAGGGTGGGGGGCACAACCTAACACACAAACCCGCCACATCGAAGAATCCACAGCCAGCCTCGCCGCCCACTGAAGGCTCTGACTTCTCCTTAGCCTGCCCGCCGGCTCCCGAGCCTCTCCTTGGGCACACTCATTCCCAGGCCCACTGCAGGCAGGAACAGGACTTCAGTCGGCCCAGCCCATTCGATGAGCTCCCAGAACCCACAGGCTTCCAAGGCCGACCTGCGGGGAGCAGAAATGGCCCGGCCTGAGGCTTGCGAGGATTCCTCCTCACTGGTCCCCACCCAAGTTGGCGGGTCTGCCATGTCCTTCAACCTGGTGGTTAGAGCCTGACAAAAGGTTCTCATCAGTTTGCCTGGAACAGAGCCAGAGACCCTTCCCTGCCTATCCACAGCCTATGGGAAGACAATGGTGAGCGCTTGTGGTGACAGCAGCCAACTTCAAAGTGAAGTGTTCTCCTTTGCTGCTGGGGAAGGCAGCGTGGCCAGCACCTGCACCTTCTCTTTGAGGGGTTTCTTATTGCGCAGCATCTCCTGGGCCCTTCCTGCCTGAGTCAGAGCAGGCTCAGCCCTCACTTGCTGCGGCTGCAGTGGGCTGAAGATCGAAGCGCAGAGACCAGCCACCTCGCTGCTTGCATTGGCCAAGGGAGGACCTTCCTATGGGAGGGTCTCACATAGAAAAAAAAAATTGAGGGATTCTTATCTAGGGGTCCCTTCTCCTGGCCCAGTACTCCTTCCCAGCCCGCCTCCCAGCTTCTCCTTTTCTTGTTCGCCGGAGACTTGTACTTTAAGTCTCCATATATATCATTTCTCAAAAACAATTCCATTTTCACTTATTTAAATGAGGAGTATTGCTTTTTCTTCACAATCATCTGTTTAAAAAAATTACCCCTCTTGGAGCGAATCATTCCAAATATGCTGAATAAAGCGTGATTGCTTCAGAGCATGAAGTCAGCCCCCGGGCTGCCAGAGCTATGACAGCCTGTGACCTCCCTCCCAACACGGAGAGGCCACCTGCCACATTTGGACACCCCTAATTTAGGGCTCAGGAGATGAAACAGTGGATGGGCTCTGCTAAGTCATACATCTGACATGCAAGGCCCTGTACTTGCTTATTCTCTTTTCCTCCCCCAAAGTTTTATCTAATCAACATTTTGTAAAGCAAATCCATTTTTGAATACTCCAAAAAGAGATCTGGCTATTTAAAGATATTCTCGAAAAACTGTCTTGTAAAGCAAAGAATCTTTACATAATTAGAATTAACTCTCACTGGTCTGTTCTCTAAACTTGGGAGGAATAAGTTATCATATTTTCCAGCAAGGCATCTCCAAGCCTTCACAATGTGTTATAATGGGTTTCCTTCTGCACCAGGTTGGGCCGCAGAAGCAGTACAGAGGTCAAGGCACGCAGCTGACCCCCGTCGGACACATCACATCACTATGTTTCCCAGAAGCACAGAGCCAAGTCCTCAGAACTGCCAGGTGTGGCCCCCAAACCAAATGATAAGACGTGTGATAAGATTGCCATTGTTCTCATTCTTTTGTTATTAATTATAAACATCTGTTATAAGATGAATGCTGAAAGTGTCTGCAGCATTTTACACAGCCTCTGAAAACACAAGGTCTCACCCCAGAGAACTTATAATCAACAGCAGGTGAATGTGTTCCACATGACGAAGGTTTTTACTGAGACGTAAGTTAGGAAGACAAAGGCCATCCATTTTCAAGTCAAAGACCCCTTACACTGTTTCCATTCAAGACCAGGCTATAGATTTGTCTTGTCATCTAGCCCAGAGGACAGTGTGCTGACCACAGACTGGCCTGGCACAGGGCGGTACAATAAAAAGCTAAGGAGTGGTAGTGACAGCAGACATGTCCCCCTCGTGGCCTGCAACTCTTTTTAAATTTTTTTAATTGAATCACCATGAGGCACAGTTAGAGACTTACAAACTTCCATGCTTACATTTCAGTCATACAGTGATCACATACCCATCCCTCCACCAGTGCCCATTCTCTACCACCAATGTTCCCAGTATCCCTCCCCCCACCCCCATCCCATCCTGCCTCTGTGGCAGGCGCAATCCCTTTCTCTCTCTCTCTCTCTCTCTCTCTCTCTCTCTCTCTCTCTCTCTCTCTCTCTCTCTCTCTCTCTCTCTCTCCTTTAGGGTGTTATGGTTTGCAGTGGTGGCCTGCAACTCTTGACTCCATCAGGTCTGACACTCTGACCCATGCAAAAGGTAAAAGGTAAAGGCCCTCCCGTTGATCGTCGATTTGCTCGAGCGGGCCCAGTAACGTCTCCATTGGAGACTTTGTTGTTACTGTGTTTGGCATATCAAATACTCTCAGTAGCTTGCCGGGCTGACCCATGCAATAGCCATAAAACTGTTCCTGCACTCCTGCCACACTTACAAGAGTGGAGTGCCCTGAAGCATCTAAGATTCCCAAAATCCTTCACTGTGATGGGAAAGCCATTTCCAATGCAGGCATATTCTGAATATGCGGCAGCTTAGAGTGGCTGTTCTTATTTTGGTGAGGGCTCACCATAATGTCCTGGCACACCAACTACTTAACAACATGTGCTGTCACTTCTATGTGCAAGACCAAACTCTGTACCAAACTCTCCTTACATTAACACTGATCTTCACCACTGCCCTGAAAAAAATTGTTTCTGCCCAAATGTAAATTTATTCATTCACTGCTTAAGAAACAAAAATCTTTTTGAGTATTTTCTCACGTCATATAAAGAAATTAAAGCTCAGGGTAAAGATTATGCCCAAGTTACTCAATGTTAAGTGCTGTACATCTTCATTCAACATAATAGATTCTTCAAAACTGTGACTTCAAAATGCTACATAATGAAACCAAGTTTACCTGTAGTCTGTCTGATACAAGAATGAATCATGTTCCTATTGAATATTTCTGGTCCCAGAAGCATCGCCAGATGTATAAATAAAGACCCCCAAAGACTTCTATGGTTCTAATATTAAACAACAATTTATATTCACTCATTCCCTTTCTCACCTGATTATTCCTATTCAGGATTTTGCTGTGCAAGGCAGGGCCCAGCACTGGACAAGCACCTTCTGCTGCATGCACACAACGCATACCCACATGCACTCTGTCCAGAAGAGCAACATGACCAATGAAATTCAACTGTGAAAGGAAACCAGACAGCCCACATAAGCACAAGGAAAACATCAAGCTTCACCCAGACGGTGGTCCCAGATGGGAACGGTCTAGTTTATTTTGTTTTGATCAACATT